ATCCCGTTGCCGGTCCCGGTCCGGTACGGGCGTGACACTGAGGGTTGCGGTCCATTGCCAGACACGAAAAAAGACAAAAAGGAAAAAAAAAAAGTTACTCTAAGGAGCCAAGCCTGTGGCGCACTCGGGAGAGTGCAGCGCTGGGAGCGCAGCAACGCTCCCACTGCGGGTTCAGATCCTATATAGGGATGATTGGTGCACTCGCAGCGCTCACTGGCTGAGCACGGTGTGGCTGGTCTCAAAAAGGACAAAAAAAAAAAAAGTTATTCTAAGAAGTAGACAGCTGAGAATAGAATCAGGTGGGTTTGATAGGACGACGTGTCTGAGGGAAGACCCATGGCTGCCAGGTTTCTGCCCTGTCTTTTTCTGAGCACAGAGAGGAGGGCACTTTGCTAAGCTGCCGCTCATGCTCCACACTCAGTTCTGTGTTGTCTTTCTGTAAACTTTGTGTGCTTTCCCTGCACCATCAGCCCTCAGTGTGGTTCTTCATGCCCATTCCTGTCATGCCAGGGCAGCTGCCCTGCAGTCCTTTCACTCACCTCCTCTTGTTGGACTCTTTTTACCTCTCCTGTTTTGCTGTTACTGTAACTTGGGCCTGATGGATTTGTGTTCTGGAAAGAGAGCTCTGGTTTCGGGGTTCAGGTGGGCCACACGAGAAGAGGGTGGAGGTTCCAACAGTGTCCAGGTGAGCAGGGTAGTCCCAGCAGGGAAGGACATCGAGGGGCCTGGTGCTAACTGTGGGGAAACCGAGGACACTGAACAAGTGTGCTGGCCCTCCGCAGCCAGATGGTCTGACCTGGGCCCAGTGAGGGGCCTCTGGGCTGGGTGTGGGAGGCTGGATGATGGGGTGGCGAGTGTGGAGTCAGCACAGTTGGCGCTCAGGAGGCAGATTGATTCCAAGCCACAGGGGCGGGAAGAGCTTCCTCACGAGCAGGCTCACGGTCAAGTACCGGGCACTTGATGGATCTAGCAGACACATACCTTCTGCAGGGCTGGGGCACAGCAGTGCTGGGCACCCCGTGACCTGGTGTCCTGGAGGGGACGGTCAAGTACCGGGCACTTGATGGATCTAGCAGACACACACCTTCTGCAGGGCTGGGGCACAGCAGTGCTGGGCACCCCGTGACCTGGTGTCCTGGAGGGGGTGTGTTGTCTTCATCTGGCCAGCAGTGATTTCAGCCTTAGAGAAAGACCCCAAGGTAGAGCAGGATGCTTCCTTGACCCTCTGCCCGCTCCTGACGTCCACAGATAGGGTCCACTCTTAGGATCTGGGGTCATTTTGCTAAGATTCACAACTTATTTCTACCTATTAATGTCTCTTACTCCTTTTAAAATTCCAAGTCAAATTTGGAGTGGCTTCCAAACCTCCAAACCTGACATGGGCACATCAGTCCTGCGGACCAGCTTCCGAGAGACATTAGTTGTAATGTCACTAAGTCAAGGGAGTCTCATGTCATGTTTTCTATAATGAGGGACACAGCTCTCCTGTTTCCAGATCCTCCCTGGAGTGAAGGTCATCATTGCACACACCGAGACCAAAGGGCCCCTTGGAGACTCACACCTGGGAGAGGTGAGCACCAGGCCCCAGGCCAGGGCTGGGGTGGTGGCCCTGTGTGTGAGCGATGTGGGGAGCTCTTGAGCCTCACTGGCTTCACCCTCCTTCCCTTTCTGCCTCAGATTCGGGAATTCTAAATCTTTTGCGATTATACATGTCTTTGGGAATCTACCAGAAACTGTGGTCTCTTTCCCTGTGCACATCATGCTCCCAGACCTGGATCCTGGGTAGGATTTAGGAGTGCTACAGGACAAACCGACCCCTCCCTGGGCCACCCCACCAGCAGAGAGAAGCCTCACGTTTTGAGGGCACTGGGAGGCTGGAGGAGCCACATGGGAGCCAGTGGCAGAGCAGGCCACAGCTGCCTCGAGCAGAGTATGTCAGCTGCTCCTTAAAAAGTGGTTCCTGCATAGACCAAGAGGGAACTGGTGATAGAGGGACATGTGGGGCCTCCACCTATGACAGGGAGGCTGAGGGAGTGCAAGGCCACTGACAAGACCCTTGTCCTGAGGACACAGAGGGTGGGGCGGGGAGGGGTCCTTGTTGTCCCAAGGATACAGAGGCTATGCGGGAATCACTTGTGGTGATGTATTTGCATTCATGCACACGCATCTCACCGTAATTTGGGATAGTAGGACCTATTATTTGCAAGCATTGGTGGCAGTTCAAGGTGCAGATCATGCCCTACATGCCCAGAGTGATTGTGACTATGGGGCAGAGGACTCATGTTCCTAGTCCATGCCCCTGGGAAATGTGGCATCAAATCAACATCCATGTGCCAAGTGGTCTCTGCTGCAAAGCCAGCCTGGGGCTCTGGTGTGCAGTGCCAGGGTCACACAGACGCCACCTGGGCCAGCTCCACCTGACTGGGACATCTGGATGGGACAGTCACCCCAGGTCCCAATCCTGAGTGCAGACAGCAGGTAGAGCCTTCCCTGTGCTGTCCTGCTTCTTGGTGAGTCCAACCTAGGTCCATTAGGGTAAGGGTGACTTCAGAAGATGGAGGGTCTAAGCCAAGTATGGGAACACGCCTCTCATGGCAGATGCTGAAGAGGAGAAGCCCCTGTTGACCAACCCCTCCTCCTCTTTTGGATGCCACCATGTGGGGACATCTTAGAGCCAGGCATTTTAAGTGTGGGGAACTAACCATGGGTTCTGTACAGGCCTGTGTTTAGGAGGATGCTGTAGTGGATCGAACTGTGTCCCCCACAAAGTTTAATGTGTTGGAGGTTTGGTCCCCACTGTGACAGTGTTAAGAGGGTGGGAAATCCTATTATGATAATTTAAAGGTGGGGCCTTAGGGTCAGCCTGTGGCTCACTTGGGAGAGTGTGGTGCTAATAACACCGAGGCCACAGGTTCAGATCCCTATGTAGGGATGGCCAGTTAGCTCACTTCGGAGAGCATGGTGCTGACAACACCACGTCAAGGGTTAAGATCCCCTTACCGGTCATCTTTTTTTTAGAAATGATAGATAGATAGATTAGACAGATAGATAGATAGATAGATTAGATAGATAGATAGATGTTTTTATATGTGTATATATAAATAAAAATAAATAAGGAAGGAAGGAAG